ATAGGGTGGTTGGCCTTTGGAGTGGGTTGCCTTCAGATGTTGTAGAGACAGTAAGTTGAAGTGAGTTTAAGAAAAAGCTTGATAAGTAAATGAATGATAAGGGCTGGCTTTAAGATTTTTTTTAATTATTTTAATTTAGTTTAGAGGATGGAACAGCAAAGATGGACCAATAGGTCCCATGTTGTGCCAAAACATTATGTTGTTTTATATTATTTTGGATAGTTAAATATCATCTTCCATGTATTAGCGCAATGCATCAAATGATCTAAATCTCCCTGTAAGTCTGCAACATCTTTGATACAGTTAGCCACCCCAAAAATCTTAACGTCATCTGCAAACTTTAAAATTCTATTAGTCATTCCAGAGTCAATATCATTAATGTAAATCATAAACAGCAGAGGACCAAGCACATCATTTGTAACTGTGATCCAGTCAGATCCAACTTTATTTATTACTACTCTCTGCTATTTACTCTTCAGCCAATTTTCTATTCAATTTAATAACATTTCCCCCACACCCAAAGATTTAATTTTTGTAATAAGTCATTTGTGAGGCACCTTATCATGCTATAGTTTTGAAGTTTAAACTTATACAAATGATATTTAATACTATGCAACATCCAATTTGAAAGCATCACTTAAATGTTAAATTAAAACTGAATTAAATTGAATTATGAATATTTTTTACCTGTATTAGTGTATAACTATAAATTATAACACTTAACAGTATAAGTTATAAGAAATAAGGCTTAAATTACAAGGTCTTATATTATTATTAACCTAAAGAAACTTAAGTATTAACAATAATAATTACGGATAAATTATATATATACAAAAATTAGAATTTAGTAAATTCGTTACTGATTCGATGATTGAATTACTTAGTCTACAAGTACAAGTTAGCTGAAGTTTGAACTTACAAGGTACAACTTACAAGTAAATGTGACTAAAAGTAAAACACTACAGAAGTTCAGATTCAGAGTGAAACTTTCATTCCAACTTCCAAGTAAATCGTAATATGCCTTATAATTTACAAGAAAAATTTGTGCTCTCATGTAGCTTAGCAAAAGTGTCTAAAAATACAAATTATTTTCAATTTTAAAATATATGCAGATTTAAATTAAAAACAGAATTACACGTAAATTAAATAGAATTACCTGAGAAACGATAACAATTTTCCACTTAAACCACACCTGAACTTGGCGTCATCTACAGCCATTAAGAACATTACAAAATTAAAAATGAGAGAGAGAAATCACAATTATCATGCTTTTACGATTCTCTGACTAAAGCATGCTATATTCCAATATAAAAGATGTATTTCTAGAATATGCATTAATATAAATATACTCTATCTTTGAAATATTGGTTAGTATTTTCACAACTTTGAATATTTATTTCGTAGCTGTTTTTCTCAGTATTTCGCTCCCCAGTGGCTCAGCGGTAAGTAACACGGCTTATAACCCTAAACACCATGTTTCGATACCCGTAGCAGACATGGAGTAATCATAATCGATTACATTTGTAAAGTAATTGCAATCGTAATAGTAATCAGAAATTTATAAGGCCTAGTAATCATAATCGTAATGAATCGTAATCTGTGATTACAATATAATGACATTTAAAATTTTAGATGTCTTTGTGCTTCTTAAAAAGTATTTCTGGCATTAACATTTTAGAAGTGGTTTTCACAACTTCCAAATTACCTGCGCACAAGCAAAAGATATTCAGACATCAATTCATTACCCCTTAAGTCAATGCCTTTGAGCCCTGGATCACTAAGCTTAGAGGAGCAGGTGTGGTGAATTAAAAAGTAATTATTCATTCCTAGCACAAAATAATTGCATCTCCAGATTGGAGGCTAGTTTATAGTT